AGAGGTTCATATCAGTCCTATTTTATCGAATTTTTTGGTTCGAGGAGTCAGTTTTTTTGAATAATGAAGATGACTTATAGAAAAATAAAGAAAATATGAAACCAATAGGTAATTCAATACAAAAAGTTTCAAAAATCCGTCTTTCACAGTACCAAATTATTAATCTGTTTTCCTCAGCAAATACTCAATGGTTTTCATTCATTTATTTATTTTTTATCCATACAAACCTCGTTGTTCAATTACATGAATAAATAAGTAATCACATAATCCGAAATAATAAATCACATAGTCAAATGAAATTCAAAAAGTCTACAATATTTAGAAAATATAGACACCTGAAAATTGTTATACCTACATATAACTATATTCTACAACATGTGTATTGTATGAGGACTGACACTCCTTTGTAAGTTTCTTACACAGTGTCACACATAAAGTCCGCATCAAATGGGATTTTTTTTTGTTCATCTCTTCAAGCAACTTTTGATATCTCCATTAGATTGTGCTTTAAAAATGATGCCAAATGACATGCATATGACCGATCAAGTGATTTTTCTTCCCTGTCCAATTTGACATTTTTTCCAAAAAATGTTCAGAAAAGCAGATATTGCTCGAAATTTCGAAAATCGGTAAAGAGAAAAGATGATTGTTTTTTCATTTTTTACCCATATACCAATTTTTAGCTGTATTTTGATATTCATCTCCAGCCCACTCAAAATATTTGTTTTCAGTTATTTGATGGTATTAACTTATCAATAATACATTGTAAGGTATTCTGAAGGAATATCAAGTCGAAATCGGGCTACTGATATGGAAAAGACCTGGACTTATATATTCAAATAAAATAGGCAATCTACGGTATTGATCAGATAAAAAAATAATCAATTCGTTGGGTACAGTATTTACATATTCACTAAGGTTACGTGCACCCAACAATTTCATTATTTTTTATCTGATCAATACCATAGATTGCTGAGGAGTTTTTGGCAATATTTTATCTTTTACTTCAACTTGGGTAGTGTATCGCTAACGACGTAACATTTTTAGCCACCCTAAGCCACAGAGTCCTTGACACGATACAAAATTTTTGACGACTTGGGTGGGAGATCCATAGTTGTATCCCGATTCTGAATTGACAAAGGTCTTTGCATAGATTATATTGGATTTGTATCTTCTTTATAGTGTACTATTATAGTACTAGTCAAGCCCTGTCATTTGATACCCATATTGAGGTAACTGTGAAAAAATATTATGTAATCCGTTATTTTGTAGCTGTATCCTTTTTAGATTATATTACTATTCAACTAGTCAGGCCCTATCATTTGATACCAACATTGAGGAAGTTGTGAAAAACGTATCTAATCCGCCATTTTGTAGTGGCGTCCATCTTGGATTTGCAATGATACAGAATTTATTAAATTAAGGGGGTCAAATTTCAATTACTGAATTTGACCCAAATAAATGAATAAATGATCATACAAATGAACAGGGCAAGCTAAAAATACCATTCAAAAGCCGTTTAATGAAATTGATATGTTTTACAGTTCATGTTTCATGGAGATTCGTATCACCAATAATACCGATCAGTATTGTGAAACTTCAACACAGTGATTTTTTTTAACATGATAAAAAACACATGTCATTCTCATTGGTAAATCTTTAAAGTTGTTTCAGTCGAGCCGTATTGGCCATGATTTGACCTGTTACAAGAGTCAAGTGTCCCAGTACCAGGCTTTGATAGTATGTACTGATTCGTACACAACACTATTAAAAGCTATATTGTCCTCTATTAGGTGTCGCTCATAATAATTGTAACTGTATTATCGTTTTTAATTTTTAATAATTCCACATTTGCCTGGGTTTATTGTAGATACGATTCATCTAAATACTGAATACTCAAATACTCTGAAGGAAAGATGGCGTCTCGGAAAAATCAAAATAAATCTAGTTCGTCAGTAAACATAATTTTCATGCTAAATTAAAAAGCCCTCAAAATGTTTATAATCAATGCATGAATGTAGTTAAGTTGGCCTTCCCCTGGTATTGACATTTTTTTCAATAAGATGTTTTTATTACTAATAATATTGTTTTGGAATGAAAATTGGAATGTTAGTGGAATATAGCATCCATTGAAATTCATGAACCGACTCGCTTGTCGACTGCAATACCTCATGAGGACAAATGAAATTCTAACCACTTTTCAGACGTGAACAATTTATTTTCTAGTGTCATTTGTTTCATTCAACACTTTTTCAGGCTCAAAGATGAACAACAACGCTGTGTTGAATAACTGAATACACATTTGTCAGAAGAGCCCTTGTCGAAAGCTTTTTGAGTTGATATGAACGTGTCTACCCGACTGCCACTAAATTTCAAATTAATGAAACAAAAGAAACACTCAGGTGATGCGAAAAGTGATGACGTTATCAATCATTTAAGTCAAGTGATGTCGGAAACTCCATGTTGCTATCGATTTCCGACGGTTCTATTGCCTTGAAGCACTTTGGGATTTGATACTGTGTTCGAACGTGGGGGTTTTTTCTGCATAAGTGTTTCACTTCACTGTCGGAGAAAGAGATACATGAAGTGTGGTGGCCCAGTTTCCTGTAGTTTGATTGGAGGTTGTCGTTTTTTATATCAAAATGAGTATGATAATGACAATAGATAGATAGATAGATGAATAAAAACATTCATTCCAACAGAGTATTTTATAATCATTCACTAGAGTGGTAGAAACGTTTTGTCTAAAACATACGTCGAAAGGAAAATCGTAAAAATATCAACGTCTACATGTAAATCTACCAATTTCTATAACGTTATTAATTTTGAGCATGATACAGATTGTTTTTCCATCGTTCAGAACTGACTGATTCTCTAGAAAACAAGCTTCGAATTATTTTCATTCGTTAGTCACTTGAACAATAAGTTTTCTGTATATGATACATCAAATTGCAAAATGTTGAAGGAAGTATTTGAAACTATTGGTCATGTAATACTGAACTTCATAAATATGTCTTCAAGTACAGGTAAAATCAATTCATAATATTAAGCATACCACTAAAGCAGAAGATCTCCCAATAACTAATAATTTGCCACCAATTGAAAAACTTTTGAAAATAACTGTTTATGAACAATTACCAGAACATGTTTCAGAAAATTCAGTATTAATGAATAATCAATCTGGGTTTCGAAAAAGTATTCTTATGAAACAGCACTGCAACTGGCCCTATGCTTCGTTAAAACACAATTAGATAATAAATATATTTTCGAGCTATTTCTCTACCTGAAGAGAGCCTTTGTGACAATCGATAGGAAAATATTATCATCCAAACTAGAACAATATGGAATTCGTGATATAGTGCATAATTGGCTATATGACTATCTTACAAACCGCAAGCAACATGTACCTACGTTTTAAAGATCAAATATCATGTATGATAAATGATGTAGGTATTCCACAGGGAAGTATTATAGGCCCCCTTCTTTCCATTTTTTATCTGAGTGATCTTGATTTTTCCATAGAATGTGGAATTTTTTAACCTTTCTACTGATGACACCTTAATTGCATCTAGTGATGTCAATTGTGAAAGAGCTATTGAAAAAATGAACACTGACTTGTTATCAATAGGCCAATATCTGACAAGATTTGGCTCCGTATGACTATCATCTTTTCTCAACTGAAAAAAGTCATGGTTTTCGTTACCTAGAGACATTGTAAGTTCGATGTGTTGTAATTGTGACATATTCTTATTCATTCCCCTCCAACGTTTATTTCATAGAAGGCACGAAAATATAAAATTGTCAACAGTTAAATCTTTTGAAATTGATTGTTTTGTTTTTTAATTGAAAATGTGATTTTGAAAGTAGTACTTCGAAGGAATTTTGAACTACATAACATTTTATGCCACAAAATATCCTTGTTTTTTTTAAATAATGGGAAAATGAGAATATAACTGACATTAACCATCCTAAAACCTCACTCATCACATGTTTCCTTTCCTCTTACAAAATAACCATTTTCTCTCTTATTGAGAAGGAATAACTTTCCTGACAAGAAAATAAAAAATGAATTATTTATGTGACCGTAGTGTGATCGTAGTAAGATGGTAGTCCTGATCACGAATCTGAAGGCATTTTGAGCCTGTTTTGTCCCCTAATATGTTTTACCGTAAAAATGGGGTGTTTCATCGCGAGTGGCGGACAGTGTATATCACTTTGACCAACCTCATTCAGGTAGTAGATGCATTTTGAGCATTTCCACCAGTCCATGACTCACTTTGGAAAACAATTATTAAAAACAACCACCAAAGACAACCACAAATTGATAATGAACCATCGCAGGTAGGAGAACCGCCAGAAGCCATTAACAACAAAATGTACTGCTCAGATCAAAGGTTAAAGTTAAGTACCACATGAAATTTTTAATGCATTATTATTCAGAGAGGCGAAAAAAATTGCCTCAAAATTTGGACACACATTTAATTAAATAATTTCATACAGTTGAGTGGAACACGCCGTCTTTAGTAGCGTAATTTGACGCAGAAGTAGATTTCCTTCAAAACTATATTAGGGTTCCCTATACCTATCTCTACCTGCCTGCCCGGTACTGACGATGTCCAATAAGCTGAAACAACTGTCTACCGGTGGCTTTCAAATTTAAATCAATGTGGGAATGATCAGAATTGTACTTATCTATTTATCTTATTATTATATATCTGTATATCTGATGAAAAAAAATTATAAGAATGGCCACAACCATAGTTACTCTAGCATATTACTCTCATTCTGGTTGAAAGGTCGTTTATCCTTTTTATTTTTTTTATAACACCAAATAAGTTGAATCTTTCAAATTGAAGTGATTCTAAAAACACCCAGTAATATGCTTTTTTACTGAGCATATCAAACACGGTAATCATTCGTGACTATGATACAAAGCACATCTTTATTGAATATCACACTTTAGAACGAAACACGAAGTGAGTCCGGCTATTTTGTTTTAGGTGAAGGAGGACTGGAAATACGTTGCCATGGTATTGGATCGACTATTTTTATGGATATTCACTCTAGCCGTTCTTGTGGGAACAGCTGGAATAATCCTGCAAGCCCCAACACTGTACGACGACCGAATGCCGATCGACAAGGAATTCTCAGAGTTCGCTACTACGACGGTGGTTAGATGTCCTCCCCCAGTTTAAAAAGGGCGGTTTCAACTCACATTCCATTATCGTCTCATCATATTCATTTTCAATATCACACACGACGTATTGTTATGTAAATAAAAGAGTATTTTATAGATTGTTGAACAGAATTCACTTTTTGGAGGTGGAATGACGGAACGAAAATTGATGGCTGGGATGATAGATTATTGCATTTTTCTCTGTCGAGTTACATGTCATCAATTTCAATGGGCCTACTTTGAATGTTTTTTAGAGCCTCACTTTGAAATTCCTCAAATCTTTTTGCCTTCTTTCCAACCTAAACGAGAACAAAAAGAATATTAATCTGTTATCAATTCGAAGAGTTATTTTCAGCATTTCTGTCATTTCTACAAGTTTTGCATTTTCTGGTCTATACTAAATATTTTTTGGATTACGTACCTAAATTCCTCATGGCATTTTTTGGGGGTTTTTCATCCTCAATTTATTGACGTATCACATAAAAATTTTTTTTAGTTAATTCAACATCATGAAAGGTTACATTGGCCAAATAATTTTACAATTCTAAAAAGAAGAAATTTTATTGAGAATATAGAATTATTTTTTTGAATTAATTTAAAACATAATTATTTGTGGGGACTCAAATCGAATTTTATTATTTGTTCAAGATATTCACATCTTCTCTTGAATACTTTTTCCTAAGATTTCTAATCATTGAAAGTTGTGGGGTCATGTCTACTTTTTCAGATATGTGAATTTGAATCCGGAGATCAAATATCCCCAATTCTAAATATTTCGCCATCCATATATTTTTCTACTATTTATCGTTATGAGAACCACAACCATCACAAAAAAGTCGAGTCTACATTATTTGATGTTTCTCAATATTTTCAAAACCTGATCTTTCACTCTCTATTTGGTTCAGCGCCAGATAGAGTTCCTGAATATAAAATATCAAGCAATTACTTCATTTGTGAAGAAATTTGACAAAACTTTGCACCAAACTTCATAACGAAAAATGAAATAAATGTCATTCACGCAATATCGTTATTGTAAACGTAATAAAATTCCACTTCAAATATCGACTTCAGTCTCGAAAAATATCAAGAATTCTAAGTGAAAATACTCATAGGAAAGATATATCACAACGTCAAAAAACATTCCATAACTTGAACATGTTGTTCAAACTGTCCAATTTTCAGGTGTACCTACACATGAAAAAATGTGTTACTGAATATTTTTCTGAAGTTTTCAATAATATTTTTGTTCATAATTTTTTTCATGTTTTTCCATTTTTAGGTGGAACATCGACAAAGAAGTGTCAAATGTTCATAATATCCATTCTTGGTATATTTATTGGCCTCTTGAAAGCTTTTGACTTCGTTTGTCATGAAGATATTCTAAAAAAAATCATAATTATGTCATGAGTACAATCATACTAGTTACTCATCAGAACATGAAGAGAGTGTTGAGATTGATGATGTCCTAAGTATGACTATAGTGTTCCTCGAGGATCTGTACTGGGGCAACTTCTTTCCGCTACCTACATGAACAGTTTGGTTTTTCTCAATACCGCTGATAAAATTTTCAATTTAAGAAATTTGAAAGTGAATATTGTAGATGATTTTCTTAGGTTTCCAGAATGTTTTCACTTCAAAGTAGGTTTGAAAAAAGAAATCTCTTTAGCAACATCGAAATATCTGGGTTTCGACGAATGGAATTGTGACATAGACATCACGAAATGTTCATATATAATTGATAGCTGGAGTATGAAAATAATTTATTTTTCATTGACAGATTTGAAGCATTCATATGAAATATTGATGACTATTCTGTAGAAATTGATAATGCATTCAGAAATGGATACTGAAATTATTATTATTCGGCGTGGCACATTATTATTGTATGTTATGTATGATAGAGACCATTACCACTTTGTGAAAACGTTCACAATACAATAAAAAATGTATTTTTACTCTGATGTGAATAAACAATGGAGTATCAATTATTTGGCTACAAATATATGGTGAGGTTGAAAATATTGAGAAATATAAAAAACACAAAAATTCAGGAACGTTGTGATTATTGCATTCAACATAAATGAAAACTCTACAATGATTGAGTGAATTATTGAGGTTCATATTTCTCATATGATTTTATCATCTCTTCATTTTTTGACTTTGAAATTTCTCTACATTCTATGCTCAATTGGTCCACAAGTTATTCATGCCGACCAAATATGTTCATATTTTATTGTGAGTTAAATCTGAAATTAATTTTCAAAACCTGATAATAATTTTGTTATATGTAATCATTTATTCTGAACAAGTATACTCTCACTGAATTGTGAGTAACTCAACGGAACATCAAATGTTATAATGGCCTTACTGAAACATGTCACGATCCATTCAATTTAGATTCCCCTTTTATGTTACTAGGCCATTCGACAGCAATCATGAAGCATTCAAGCTCACCATCTCCATCAACGTGAATTCTGCTTTGAAGACATATTCTCGTCCCTCATCAAGCTCATTTTAACGACAAAGCTTATGATATTTCATAAATGAGAAAAATTACCTGAAAATGTACATAAACATGCAATGAAAAATATTTATATACTTTCGAAAAGCTCATGAAAATTTTATATACATGACAAATGAAAAGTAGAGTATTCATTTCTGATGAATAAATTTGTTGATAAATCAATTTGTAGCAGCTGAAGTGAGACGCCAATTGAAAATGAGGAAAGGCCGAATAAATTCTATTCCAAAATGAATTTCCTCGGCAGCGGTGATTCTCTAATGTATTATTGGTGTGCTCATCTTCCATGAAATATTGTGTCATAGTCGAGATTTGGGTAATTCTGCATTTCTTAATTTTGTGCACAATTACCTCTTGATGCAGAATTGAAATTTGTATGCTTGTTTCAATACAAAAGAGTTCAACATCAATGTGATAACTATATTGAAATTTTATTGATATTGGTTATGACGATGACAGTTAACTCTTTTCCGAAGGCATGAGTTTTTGTCTACCCAACTAATCATACTTTCATAATTTATTTGCTCGATATATCCAGATATCTGTTTTTGTTTAAAATCATAAATCTTAGAAAACGTCAGGAATTTTTTTGTCAACAGAAAGGCAACTGAACATATCATGAAACTTTACTGAAATCATCTGCCCCATTAATAATATTTATGAATGTTCTCAGATTTCTTGTCTCACATCGGAAAATAAATTCTCATTTCCTCGTCAAATTATAAATTACGACAGTCAAGTATAAAAGTTCAAATGATGAATCATGAGATTCCAACTTTGATTCTCAACTTATTCATTGTTGTATTTTTGAATTGCTTGAAACGGTATCTGTTGAAAAGAATTTTCTGCAAGAGTTTGAAATTGAATTATTCACTCCCAGAAAGAAATGCGTTATGTAACAGTTTTTCATTATTTGAAGTATGAGAATGCATTGGGGTTGGTGAAGGAAGACTACCGATTCCTTGAGAATTAAATTGAATTGTTAACTCTCCTCTTCAACAAATCCACTATTCTGGATGAAGCACATTCTATCGTTCACTAACACAAAGTAGAGAGTGAGGCAGTGCTATATCGTGCTGCGAGTGGTGTGAACTATGAGTATTGATGTCTCTAATATTTCGGTATAAATTTGACGATTCCAATTTTCATTAATCAATAACCAACTAAATCCTCGATACATTCACTTTTCAGGATACTTAATATGGCAAGGTTTTGTCACACGAGTACCGGTGGTTTCATCATACGAGTACCAGAGTTTCTCAAATCATCTGAAGGAACAATTCGTTCAGGCCAATCTCAACTCCCTACACTGTGGGTTAGTTTTTTTCTAATAGGTGTCAGTCCATTAACCTACAGTGTAGGAAGTGGAGACCTGGCCTGAATAAATTGTTCCTCTAGATGATTTGATTTATAGACAGTCTTCAAGTATGCCCACTGACTATATGTTAACCAGAGTTTCTGTTTATACACGGATTGATGCGATGAGAGCCTCTGCAATTATTCGGCCCATCATTTTTCTATAAAAATTTGTTCACCTATATAGATCCTTTCATAATTTCATAGTAATTTTTTCTATAAGGATCAGATTGTATGATTTCGAAATATTTCTCACAGATTCCAACGATAGTCCAGTCGTTTTAAAAAAGTAGCAACAAGACATATTTGTTTGTGTGATGTATCGAACCAACCTCAATGACGACTCTTCTAGTCGGTTCATGCTCAAAACCGTTTTTTTTTTGTTTTTTGAAATGGAAATGCCGCACAGATTGAGCAGTAGTTTCAGATGATTTCTGATCCCTATTTAAATTTCAGAGGTGAAACTTACCCTCCTGGAGAATTGACGAAATAGGGATGAATGTGCAGAATTGATTTTGTACGGAGGATATCATTCATGTTTTTAACAAAACTGTTATAAGGATTTCAGATTATTGCGACTTCGAATTGACTTAGAAATTGAAAGAGAATAAGAATCTTTCGAAGAAAGGAAAAAGAAATGAAAATTCTACATGCACAGAAGATTCTTTCAGATACAAACTGAAAGACCAGTTTCACAAGAATATTGCTTTACGAGAAAGTTTTTTTTTTCATCCTAATTGTACTGTAACCTCTCATTATGTAATTGAAACATATACCCATTCATAAGAACACTAAACAATGTTATACATGAGAAAGCTTTGGTACAAAATCAAGAAAAGAGTTGAAACTTTCTATGTTTTTACCACTTTTATTTGTAACTAACGTGAGTGCAGTTTCGTCCTGTAAGGACATTTTCAAACTCATAGAATGTATAAGTCTGAAAATGTCCTTATAGGAAGAAACTGGAGTAAATTCAGTTACAAATAAAAGTGGTAAAAACAAAAAAGGGTTCAATTCTCTTTTCTTCATTATGATTTCCTACCACTTAGTAACGGCTACATTCATCAATGGTACAAAATTTCACTTACATCGAACGGTATCATCCCTAAAGTTGTACACTTCGAAGTTTCGGGAAATAACACTTGCCTTCTTATCTCCTCATCAGCACCATTTTTTTGATAACAATACAAGATAAAGCACTCATTTCTTTGATTACATTACGACATTATATCACCGAAAGAAACATA